TATATATATATATATATATATATTTACTCAATTCAAGATGGATATCCTTGAAATGTGGGAGTGTTTCAAATAAATACATCTTATATTTTATTATTCTTACTTAGAAAAATTGACTTTGGAAAGTCCTAAAAATTTGTGGATCTGCAGGTGAATACAAAAGCTGAACGGATGTATCTGTTCGAATGTGTTACTAAAAATCAATTTTTGAATTTCGTATGTTTAGGTTATTATAATTAAATGTGTGATATTAATATTCTTAGATGACATGTAGATGAGCAAGCAGAGAATAGGAGCTATGCAAATTGATGTTATCAAATTATTGTCCAAAAGGGACATGAAATAAATTATAATCCATGATGGACATAAATAAATCGTCAAAATTAAGGAAGTCACTTTCGGGAGTAACACAACCTTTGTGATTAGAGATCCCATGAAAAATGTTCGATGTGGTAGAACTCATACTACGTGACTTGTAATAGCACTATTTTATTTGTGTTCATCCTTATAGTGATAGTGTTAATAATAATGTGATATTAGGAAGAGTTTAACCTTGAATGAGCATCGAGGTTAGAATTCTCGCGAGGTGTGGGTTGCACACACCTTTGGAAGACTCACCTATGTAAGAGTTGCCATGTGACCATGATTATGGGATTGGATTATTCCTTAGAAATTCTTGCTAGAATCAAGATTAGAGCACATAGTCATAATAACGCTACCCATTATGAACTTGAGTCTAAATCAATATTGTGTATAGAATAATTGAAGTTTGGCTAAATTGACCTAATTCAAGGCATAGTCCATTATGGTTCTCTCGAATGGAAATTGTTATCACTAAGTAAAGTTCAAGCGTAAAAGATACCTACATTTATTACACAGTATAATTGTTGCCACTATCATATATATTTATTTATTTTGAAAGTTTAAAACTCGTGGAGATTGTTGTAACATTTTTTTTAAAAAGTTTTAAATTTTCAGAACAAATAATAATTTTCAGTTTTGATTTTTAATGTTAGCTTTAATACAAAATCAAATCTCATAATTTAGATTGTAAATTATACATAAATATGATTTATTTTAATGAATGTGTATAGTGTTGAAAATACCCACACGACAACATGATTTTAGAATAGTGTTCTTAACGTGACTCTCTAAGGCTTGCATTTCTAACTCTTCTCTTCTTATGTTTATATTATTGTTGAATTATGTTCATGTTATTTAATTGATTATGTTAAATGATGAATATCTACACACAAATCACCCAATTTTTCCAACATGTTTGCATCTCAAATAACTATTTTCCTTCTTGGTACAAGTTTGAGCATTGAAACTAGTGAATTTAGGAGGAGAAAATCATAATTAGGTGAGAGGATTTGTTTATTCGATTTTTATCATCAGCACTCTCAATTACACATAATATTTTATTTGTAATTAAATTTTCTTAGAGATGCTACAACACTTATGTCATGTGGTTAGTTGAAGAATGTACAAAATATTTCATGGACTATTGACTCGTGCAATAAAAGGTCAGTTATCTTCTTCGTTACATTTGCCCTCAATTTCCAGGGACAATAACATACAGACATTTCAAACGCAGGTAAACATAAATTCTTTCAATCAATACAGAGAATTTTTATCTTCTTGATCCTCTAGAACTTTGGTACTTCATTCTGTAAAAATCAAACCGAACCAGATTCTTAACCGCAAAAATGGGTCATATGATATTCTTAAAAAGATTACAAATGCAGGCCAGTACATATAAAATGATCTTAAAAAACAAAATTTTACATTTGGTTTATTGAAGACAATGTTTCACATAATTAAGGAAAATTATCATAGAAACAAGTCACAAATACAAGATAGCTATCCAACTTTAAAATGCACTAAAATTTGCAAGCAAGATTCAAGAAAAAAAGGTGAACTTCTTTTCACTTAATTTTTCCACCTATAATCTTACCCTAGCCTATGATTCTTTGGCCACCCAGTATTCTTCGCCTTTTCGAACTTCCCCCGGATCCATAACTCGAATGTAGGACTAGATTTTTCAACGCATCTTTCAAAAGCACAACAGATTCGTCAGTCTGTTCTTTATCACCAGCCATTACTATCACATTTCTGATTCTTCCTCCCAACGTTACAATTTCTGCCCTCAAAGGACTCAAATGCAACGACTTCAGTACCTCGATAAGATCAGGTAGGAGGTTGATTCGGTCTTCACAGCAAAGGGAAGCCTGGATTAGTGATTTTCTATCAGCAGAACTATGTTCATTTTGGATAACTGTGATTTCATCAGTCTCAGAAGGTAATGTTTGATCAAATTGCATTATTTCTGATGTCTGCTGCTTCAATTCTCTCAATCGTTCAACCACCTTAGCAAGAAGTGTAGCTTTATCTGTCTGTAATGATTTATTAAAAAATTAATAGGAATCTACAATTAAAAATAGCCAATTTAGAACTATAACTATAATACAAATTCTATATCAATTATACAACTATTGAAATCTGATTAGTGGATAAATAATATGTGAAAAGCTGTGAAAAATGAAACAAGTTTCCAACTAAACCCAGAAATAGTATGAACCCTAGTGATAAAGAATCAGAACTTTTGATTCTTTATATCTTTTTCTGGTTAATATCATCACGAGCATATTTTGAATTTTCAAAAGACGCCATGATATCTCAGCATATGATAGAGAGGGAGGTGCTTGGTGGGGTTGAAGCCATGTGGTGACATTTGAGTTTTCGTCACGAAAACACATCTTTACTTGCAAGCAGTTAGAATTATAACACATCTTCTAAAGATAAAAAATTCTGTTAAAACTTGAAGTAAACCTATGTTTTTCCTTCCCCAAGATTAAAGTCTTAAACTTACTTTAGAATTGCAAAGAAGAATGGTCTTAAGCCTTTCCAGATGAGAGTTGATTCTCTCTCTACGTTTCCTCTCAGCTTCTTTATGATTCTCAGATGCAGTAAGAGCTCGTGACGCTTCAGCTTCAGGAGCATGCATAAGTTCCCGCACCTCCATCGGGTAAAAATACGAACTACAGTAACTCTCCATTGCCGGAAATCCGTACACGAAGCAATTTCCCGCTGGAACTTGATGAAAAGCTGAAGTTTCTGGCGAATTCTTTGGTTGCATGCTGTGGACAGATATCAGTCACAGAAAACTTTCGGTGGTGGGATAGTAAGTTTAGGTTTGGTGCGGCTTTTTCTATTATTTCTTTCATTCTTTTTGGTCGTTTTCGTTGCATTTTTTATTAAGGATTGTTTGGATTATGGTCACGCGTGTATTACTTTTATTTTCATCTTCTTGCTGCCAGAAAGGAACTTCACTTTTTTTTTACCTTTCCTTTTTGTTTTGCACAGAGCACCTAAATTTTTTTTTCTGCTTGACCCAAAAAAAGGGGGGTAAGAAAAAGAAAATTATTTATTTTAATAATGATTAATTGAAGAATTTACTTTTGACAATAAAGAAAAAAGGGTTGATCGCCTAATTGGGACCTCGTAACTTTTCTGCTGAAGCCAAGCTAGTTCGGAATGCACGTATCTAATTACTTATCAAGACATCTATTAATATTCGATAAAATTGAGAATGGAAGATAAATTTTTTTACGTATCAAACAATTATTATTTTCAACAAAAACAATGAATAGAAGGGTTATGTAAGTGTAATGATCATAGATTTTTCCCTACAAGCTCATTTTCTCAGGATATTCCGTGCATAATTGCATTAAGTACTATACTATCACATGAAGATAGGGCTCCAACATGAATTTCTTTTGCATTCCCAGTTACTAGAACTCAAAAGACCTCCCCTTTATGTGTTGATTCTGCATTCCCATTAAGTTGCATATTAATGCATAAATAATAAGAATAATGTTATGTAGCCCCATTAAGATTACAATCTCAATCTGGACTCTCGGTAGCACTAGATGATAGGTGGAATGAAATGTGAAATTATGTAACTTATTTAATTTCACCTATTATCTAATACCACATTAATGCCATGCTGGTAAGCTCAATGAAATTAAATAGCATTACTCAAATAATAAAGAACATGAAGAAAATACACTTGAAACGTTCACCCAAATACTAGGTACAAGAGCCTCCTAGATAACCAAGTACAAGCAGCAACTTCGGAATTTTCAAAATCCCTATATCACATAACTAATCCCAATAAAAAAAATCCTCCACTTCTATGCCCCTTTTGACGGTTGGAATTTCCGAAAAAAGTGAGTGTATTATCAATGGCAATTTCTAAGAGAGAAGAGACTAACAGAGAGATAAAAATACATTTAAACAGTGAACGACTCTCTATATTCTTACGGATGAATCTCGACCATTGGATGATCGAATGGCTTGTTGAATTAGCGAAATCGAATCCATGCCTTAACATTCAATCAAATGGTGACACGCAGCTATCATCCGGGACACAAGGTTACTTATTCAAACTAATCATGGTCCTGAATTAGTTCTCTCTCACAAGTGGGGAATGAAGAGATGTACAATAGTGAATGATTAGTGTTGGGACCATAACCTGTAAGGTTCCTTATCTACCATATTTTAATTAGAGTCGTATTAACCCTAATTAATCTAGAAATTGGCCCAATAGATGCTTCTAGGACCTAATAACTAGATCACTTAAATTGGTTCTAATTAATTAGATAGCTCATATAACAATTGTTAATTAAATATAGAAGTCCATCATAGGAAATAATATTCCAGTAATCTTCCACTTGGACTGCATATATTTTTAGAAAATAATTGTATTCAATAACATTACATGTACACTAAATTTGCTATCTTCTCTTAAAATATCTCCTTGGTCACAATTTGGTCAATCTCCTATAGCAGAATGACGTTACACTCGTTTAGTAACTAGATCCATCAATTGTCACCACACCAAATATATTTAATGACATAGATTAAGTATGAATGTGCAGTAGGAAAATTGCATGCAATGTGATCTCAAACATGTTTATTTCCTATTTGTCCTTCTTTTTTCCGTAGTGAGATCAATCATTAGTCTTTTCAACGTTATATTTAAACCACAAATAGAAAGAATATATTTAGAGTATACAAAATATAAAAAATCTACTCTTTTTTTGTAAAAAAATCAAATGTACGTGTGTGTGTATCACAAACACATGTCTAATCAAAAAAACATTCAATGAACACAAACTCTTGCTAAATCAGTATATTATCAAATAAAATAACATACATATAAGCAGTATACTCATGAAAGACTCTAGGTAATAAACCTTTAGTGAACGGATCAGCAATCATAGAGTTTGTTCCTATATGTTCTATAGACACTATATGACTCTGAACTCTCTCCTCAACAACTTGAAACTTAATATCTATGTGCTTCAACTTTGAAGAATTTCAATTTTTATTCAAATATAGCACTATCGATTCATTGTCACAAAAAATCCTAAGTGGTCTTTCAATACCATTCACAATTTCTAGCAAGGCGACAAAATCTCACGGCCACATCGCTTGATTTGTTGTCTCATAACAAGATATGAATTCATCTTCTAATGTGGAAGAAGCTATGAGTAACTACTTAGCACTCTTTCGAAAAGTAACACCTCTATCCAGCAAGTAGACATACCCTAAAGTGGATCTCTTAGTGTCTTGGCAATCCGTAAGATCGGATTCAGAATATCCAGTGATCTCCAAATGATTTGACTTCGAATAAGTGAGCATGTAGTCTTTTGTTATTTGTAAATGCCTACTTTCCTATGATCCATTCTGAGGTTATTCAAACACGTGCCTAACATTCCTACTATGAACACCAGATCTAAACTTGTACATACTTGAGCATACATATGACTCCCTACAATTGATACATAAGGAGTCTTTTGTATCTCTTTCCTGTCTATCTCATTCTTATGGCATTGATTAAGACTAAAATTGTCACCTTTAGCATTGTGAGTATCTCCTTGTACACAATCTTTCATACCAAATCTAGCAAGAACCTTTTCAATATAACTCTTTTGTGATAGCCCAATAATATTCCAAGCGTAATCTCGATGAATCTTAATTCTTAGTAGAAAAGGTGTTCATAAGATCTTTCGTTTCAAAATTCTTAGAAATATCCTGGTTTCATGTAATAAGCCAGTATCGCTGGTAGCCAATAGAATGTCATCGACATAAAGCAGTAGGAATATCAATTTACTCCCATGGAACTTGCGATATTCATAATCATCAACTACATTTACCTTAAAACCTACGACATAATGACTTGATGAAATTTACGATATCATTAGCAAAAAGTTTGCTTGAGAATAGAGATTGATTTCTTTAGTTTGTAGACCATAGACTTTGGATCACCTGATACAAAGTTTTCTTACTACACCATATACATGGTTTCCTCAATCTTACCGTTGAGAAAAGAAGTCTTTACATCCATCTGATATAGCTCTAAATCAAAATGAGCTACAAGCACCATAATTATCTTGAAAGAGTTTTTCATTGAAACCAGAAAGGAAGTCTCTTTGTAATCAATGCCTTCGTTTTAAGTAAAACTATTAGAGACTAGACAAGCCTTATATATTTCAATATTGCATTTTCAATCCCTTTTAATTTTATATATCCATTTGCAATTAATGGACTTCAAACCTTCGGGCAATTCAATAATAACCCGAAGGTCATTATCCTCCATGGATTTTATTTTATCATTCATGGCATCAATCACTTTTGAGAGTTAGGACTTTGTTTGACTTATTGGAGTTGATTGGATTATCTTCCATAGATCCTACTTCAAACCCATGTTCTTGAAGAAAGATGATATAATCACTTGAAATTACACTTCTTCTTTTTCTAGTAAGTTGCCTTATTTGCACTTCCAATAGAGGTTGTTAAGTTTGCCCTTTAGGAGCAATTTATTGATTTTGAGCAAGGAATTGTTCATTGTTGTCTTGGATTACACCTTGATCAACGTCAGGAAACTGATCATTACTTATAGCAATATTAAGAATATAAATAATTTATTATTCGAAGACAATATTCCTAATGGCCTTATCTTCCCTTCCAAACTCAACATCCTCAAGTAATCTCGTATTTTCCATCTCGAAAAAAGTTTTTGTTGAGGGATCATAAAATTTAAAGCCTCTCGACCGTTCAGCATACCCAAAAAATAGCAACTTATTATTCTTGAGTGGACAATTTCTTTTTATCTGGTCTATAAGGCTTTGTCTCAGCTGAACAACCTTAAATGTGTAAATGTCTTATACTTGCCCTAACCACGGTTCATAAAGGGTTTCAGCTACCGCTTTACTTGGTACCATGTTCAGCATATATCTACAATCTTCATAGTTTTTTACCAGAGTGATTTTTGTAAGGAATAATGACTTATCATACTTTTTACCATGTCATTAAGTGTTCTACGTCTCTCAGCAAAACTATTCATGTTAGGTTTGCTTGGCAATGTGTATTGTCGGACAATTCTGTATTCTTCTAGGAATTTTGCTAAATGTCCTAGACTTTATTCATTGATACGTCTTATTAGTCATTGTATCCATCTCATGATGAGATTTGACAACCTTCATTCTCTTGCCTAGTTGATTTTCAACTTCGACCTTAAAAACTTGAAAAAATCCAAATATTGTGACTTCTCATTAATTAAATATAGGTACCCATAATAAGAATAATCGTCCATGAACGTAATAAAATATTGTTGACCATTCCAAGAAGCTATAGGGAATGGTCCGCAAAATATCAATATTTGTTAGTTCTAAGACACCTGAACTTTTGTTAGCACCTAATTTCCTTATGCTCGTTCATTTTCCCTTTTCACATTCAATGCAAATTTTGGAATTTGTTGAATTAAAAGGATTAAGAATTTCTTAGACACAAGTTTCTCTATTCTCTGTTTGGAGATATATCCTAAACACTTATGCTAAAGTATGGTGGAATTCTCATCAATTAATTTGCATTTTGTACCACAAAATGTTTTATTTTATGAGACAACAGTATCCAATAAGTATAAATCATCAATCAAAAAACTAGATGCAATATATTTAGACTAAAAAAGACTAACTTTATTATTTGCAAATGAACAAGGAAAATTTCAAATTTGTCCAAAGCAAAAATAAAAATTAATTTTCGTCTAAACGACGGTACTATATATGTATGTCTTTACAAATTCAAAAAGTAACCAGTCTTAAAAGACAATCTAAAATTTTGTATGCCTCTATTGTAACTATTTTATCATTGTCCACATA